AGGGTTTGACATAAGAGGCTATGAATATGCTAACTAAACGACTCAGGGCAAATGCCCCATTTTGCATGGATACTATGCATGAGGCCCAGGAGGCGCTCACTAAGAGCACCGGCTGGTACTGGTAGAATGTGGCCGAAAAGGTCAGGTATGAGTACTCGGCCATAATAGCGGTCAACTGAACAATGGAAATACAGCCTAATATGAAGTACTTCGGTATGACTCGCTTCCGGCGCTCAGCGATGTCGGCACAGGTAGTGTCAGTGGTGTCCGTAGTTTTGGTGTAGTCATACTTTCTGATGAAATACATGGCGAAGTACGCGATAGCACCTGTAGATAGTTTAAAATTGTTATTAAATTATTTTTGATATTAGTAAATTTAGTCATTTTTAAAGTATTAATGATTATTAGCGACCAATTATTATGTGTTATTCAAATTTAGTAGCATTTACCAAGTTACTAATAAGTAAATTATATATAATTTATTTAATAGTAAGAAATTAGCTAGCATATAAATAAATTTTAATTAATACACTTGGTCACTAATTAATAAAACAAACAGTGTTTTGGAAAAGGTGAATTTATAGCATTAAAACCAATTACCTATTAATTGCAGTACACCACCGATAAGGAACGGTATCTCTAGCTCCGGACGTCTATTATAATCAATACACTGTTGCGTACATTTATTATTAACAAGGTAAGTGCCGTTATATATGCATTCATATTTATTCACCCCGGGGCAAATATCATTACCAATCACAAAGTTTTGAGTGATAAGTGGTCCGATGATAGCGCCTACACTCCAAAACACTTGTGACCACAGTATCATCTGAGGGCTCCGGTAGGTCCACATCTCGATTATCACGACATAATTACAGCCATTCCAACTGCCAATACCTAACCCATAAATGAACGAGCACAGCCATATTTGCAATAGGTTTGTGGCAATGGGAAAGCATATGGTGCTCACAGACATTAACAGAATAGAAAAGGCCAGGTAGTTTTGTCGGTCTATGTACTTGAATAGAAATGTTGCTAGGTATTTTTGAAATAATTAATTTTGTTATTAATTTTTTCAATCAATATTTATGTGTAGGGCATACCAAGTGAGCCAAAAAACATGCCGACCCCTTGCAGGGCCGGTACCAGGCCTATCAGACTCAGCGTCGAGTTTGTTGTGTACGTAAAGTCCACAAACGCCGGCCCCTCCATGGACTGTGTTATACCCTGGTCAAAGTAGTTTTAATATGTTTTTCAGGGTTTCTGAAGTACTGTAGTTGGATACTATGAATACTTACAAATAATAACATGTTATATAAATGCAATCCGGTGTATATCCACATAAGCAACATGCACATTTTCCCTGTATTAACTGATTTTGGTATAATAATCGCATCAAATATTAGAGTATCCAGTTGCATTTTTAGCGTCATTGTAGTTTACTTAAACTTAAATTAAATGAAATTCTGTGGCAATTTTAATTTTAAGGATGTAACATTCAATCATAATATTTATACAAATGTTATCCGGATCTGTGACTAATGAGGCCTTCATTTTTATGTTATGATATAAAAGTATAACACATCCTATTTGTAATAACAATAATTATGACTTGGTAAATTAAGAAATCTGTCAATTGGTAACAAGTTCATATTAAATTGTTTTGCATTATATAAAAATAGGACAAAATTTAATTATTATCTAGATTATGTTTCTCATAAATCGTTCAAATAAAATTATATTATATTAACTATATATCAATAAAATAATATATTTCGAAAATAATAGGGCCTAGATATTTTGTTGACCAAGTATACCACGTGATTTATTATTAATTTATTTAAAAACTGCATTATCATCATTCTATAACAAACTGAACCAGTTCAATGCTGCTAGAGTCATATTAAGAGTAAAATAAATTAAAAATAATTGTATAAAAATAGTCGGTAATTAATTTTTATTTAAAAAATATAAGTTTGATACAATTTATTGTGTTATTAAAATTGTAGTAAAAATAATAAAATATACAAGGTTTTAATAATTGTAGATATGTAATAATTTTATATAATAATATTTACAAACGTAAACATTTTAACCAATTATTAAAGTCCTTGATACAAGAACTAATAAATCAACATTGTCAATTAATATACATTTAAGTAAACAATGAAATTTAATGCCCACCAGAACCGGGTTTAACATTAATAATCAAATCATCAGGCACATTTCTCACGCTAAACCACGCCACGCTAAACGCTATAATGCCCACCACCACCCCGGCAATATTAATGTACAAGTACACATTAGGATCGGTTTGAATAAGCTCTGAAATATAGTAACACAAAACAATATACGATATATTGCAGGGCCCTATAAACCAGCCCCCGATCCGGTCGGTCAGCGGCATATACCGGCCCACGAATGTGAACAAACAGATCCAGATCGTCGAGAATCCCAGTCCCACCACCACCGCACTCAACCACAAATTGAGCATGACGTCTTGCCCGAAGTATAAGTAGACATACCCGGCCAACGCTATGAACAGCTGGACTATTATCATGTATGCGGGCTTGACGTAAAAGGCTATGAATACACTGACGAGCCTACCGAAGCTGAAAGCGCCGTTAGATGCGGACATGATATCCGCTGCCGTAGAGGCGGGCACATGGAGCACGGGCTGGTACTGGAAGTATGTCGGCGCCCATGTGTTGAACAGGTTTTCCGCCAGAATGGCGGCAAAAAAGACGACCGAAACGCACGACAATATGAAGCGTTTAGGTATGTATTGCTTCCGGCGCTCCCAGTCGACGGGTTTGGTGGTGGAGGTGTCGGTGCTTTCAAAGTCGCTGATGTAATGATATTTCTTGATGAAGAACATGGAGAAGTAGAATATCGGTCCTAATTGGTAGAAAAAATCTTATTGATCAGTTTTGGTTGATTAAAATAATTTGTATGCTACATTTTAAAGCATACATTAACCAAATTTGTGATCTACAACAATTATCTAATTATTACTAATGTTCTAGGTAACATGAATGTTAATGCCCATGAATGTTAATATACTGTAATGAAAGTTTTAAAGTATATTATTAAGTAAGTGTAAATAAATTGTATCAATTTATTATACAAATATATTGTGCTAATTGATATAACGCTAAATAATCTCTATTTTAAATACTGTAATTTATATACTATAAAAATTATTTTGCATTGGGCCTAATAAATTGAAATATACTTGGCCCTTAAATGGATCGTCCATATAAATAGATCATTGTTTTTAATACAGTATCTTATAACAGAGATATTTTTATTGGGATAAATTTTTAAAATATAATATATGACTAAATCATTCACAGACAGGCGTTAGAGCTGGGTCAACTTATTAATAATATGAGTTATACTTTCGTATAAACTTATGGAGAATAGCACCTGAATCAATTTTTATTTTAAACTAATAACGCCTGTCTGTGAATGATTTAGTCATATTATATAATAATATATATATATAACTCATGTGAAAATGTTATATAATTTTTTGTGTGATTTTTATAAATTTTATATTTATTTTTAAACTAGAAACATTACCTATAATCTCCACAACACCTCCAATCAGGTACGGTATCTCCAGCTGTGGACGTCTATCATAGGTATAACATTGCTCAGTGCAGATATTGTTTGGCACAAAAACTGACACTGTTGCATTATTGACCATAATATTTTTAAACGTACACTGAGTCTTGTTAACCCCGGGGCAAATATCGTTGCCAATGACGTAGCCCTGGACTAGTAGTGGACCTAGGATAGTACCGATACCCCATAGAAACTGGGCAAATAATAACATGGAGGCGCTCCGGTATTTCCACATTTCAACAAGTACAATATTATTGCACCCATTCCAACTGCCCACACCTAACCCGTAAATTATTGAACATAGCCACACCTCCCAGTAAGTATTGCACCAAGGGAAAAATATAGTACTTAAACTCATTAAGACCACAGCAAAGGACAGGTAGATTTGGCGATTTATTAGCTTAAATAATGCGGTAGCTATACATGGTAGATTTAATAATAGAGTTACTTTATAAGTCACATTTATTTATTATGTGATTTATGTGTATTTGACTATAATTTATAATACCAAATGAACCGGCAAATATGCCGACCCCGGTAAACGCGGGTGCCAAACTGATCATGTCCAGGGACGAATTTGTAGTGTACTGAAAGTCCACATATGCCGGTCCCGGCATCGCTGAGGTTAGTCCCTATTAGTTGTGTATTTTTAACTTTTTATTATTTATTTAATAAATATTATTAGTATTACATACTATGCATTATATGAAATATAATATTTATTATTGAAATAATAATATTATTATAGTAGAAATAGTAGCTCTAATGATAGTGCATTATGTTAGTTAATATTGCATTAATTAAATATTGATTGTATTATATTGAATAGCAATAAAAGTTTTATAACTTACATAAAATAAGTGGTTATAAAAATGAATCGCAGTGTACACCCATTTGTAGGCAATACTCATTTCTTTATCCGGATCACCGACTGGAATAGTGAACACCTCGGTAACCGTACCCACAATATTGACCCAGGTATTCATATTTAGCTCGACTTTAATATATTGTAAATTTTCAATGTTTCACGGGTAATTAGTCTAGCAATATTTTGAAAAATATTAAAATATTACTAACTCGGTAGACAGTGTCTAGCTTTCCACTAATTATTTTATAATGTTACTTAATATGGTATTAGTTATAATAAAGTTTAATGAGTAAGCAACTAATAAACGCTAAATCAGTCTTAAAGTCAAAAAACAACTTTTAGTAAAAATCCATTGCATAAAAATAATAATAAACTTAAAACTTTCCAGATTTCATTAAAATATGATCAGTTTATTTCTAGTGATACTGTATTACAATTAGCAATAAATGTCGTGTAACTCAATGACTGAATAAGTAATTATTTTATTTATTTGTATGTTTGTCTATTGATTTAAATAAGATATAATTGTAATTAATTCAAGAATATATTCAACTAAAATGTCAATGATTTAATTAATATAAATTTTATGGATTATATTTGCTATAAATAGTTTTATTATATAATAAAGTTTGTAAGTTGTAGTAATTTTATATGTTTGTAAATTCAATCTTTATATAAGTCTATGTTTCGTATAGTATTAATAGAAAGTAGTACTATTATATTAGAAAAATATTGTATTATTATATATTTTCATGAAATTTAATATTAAATTATATATATATTGATGGTTAACCATTGTGTATTAGGAAGTACAAATGGACTCAATAAAGGTCTGAATTAGTTTATATAACTTAATATATTATTATATCATTTTGTAATGTAATATTTATATTTTTGAAAATATTAACATTTTAAAACAGACCTAAGCTTGTAATGAAATTAAAAAATAAAACTGTAATTAAAATATTTGACTATTATATTATTATTACTAGTACAGTTACATTACTATGAGTTGTTGAAGTATGCCTAGAAATATACATTTTAAACTGTAATTTTAGCACTAACACACATTAACAATATAAAATAGCAAAATTACAGTTTAAAATGTGTTTTTCTAGACATTATTATGAACTGGCCCATCCAATTGTACTATCAAAGCTAATATTATTTTTGTATCATTCGTTGCATTTTGTTTTTTAATTTAATTGTCAAAAATAATCAAAATTCCCTATATAATATTAATACTATTTAATAATGATAATAAAAAAAGTTTGCAAATTAAAATTAATAATATGAATGTCATACTAATGTGTGTCCTAATAATAATTATAAATTGATACAACTATTAAATAACAAGCTAATGCCCACCGGATCCTGGCACCACATTCAAAATCAAATCATCGGGCACATTTCTCACCGCATACATAGCTACCACAAACGCTATAATACCAATTCCTACGCCCGCGATACTAATATACAAAAATATCGAGGGGTCCCTCAAAATGAACTCGCTCACAAAATAGCACAATATCACGTATGATATATTGCAGGGACCTATAAACCAGCCCCCGATCCGGTCGGTCAGTGGCATATACCGGCCCACAAATGAAAACAAACAGATCCAGATCGTTGAGAATCCAAATGCTATGATAATGGCTGAGCACCAGAGGGTCGCGTAGTTATCCTGGCCAAATAGCATGAATATATAGCCACCTAGTATAAGGGAATAAAAAATATGATTTATAGCAATATTTATAATTTATAAAACTATTTACATAATACTATTATTATTATTATATTTTAAATTATAAATCATGATAAAATTTATTTTTAAAGTATAGAGTATTACTAATATGAATTTATTAGCACATTAAGTTTTATAAATTATTATAAAAACTTAAATATATCTCATTTAATCTGTTTTACAATATTTCTGAGCTAGGTATTTATTCCCCAACCCGACAAACCCTTACCTAATGTGATGAACAGCTGGACGATTACCATGAGGTCGGGCTTCACGTAAAAGGCTATGAAAACACTGATGAGTCGACCGAAGCTAAAGGCGCCGTTCATTGCCGACACGATGACCGAGGCCTGAGGGGCTGGTACTCTGAGCACCGGCTGGTACTGAAAGAATGAGGCGGCGAACGAGTTGAGTATGTTTTCCGACATAATCGCCGCCAAAAATACGATGGATATACACGTGAGGATACAGTATTTAGGTATGTATTGTTCCCGGCGCTCAGTATCAGCGGCTCCGGTAGCTGTAATTTCTTTGTCTGTTGAGATGCTGTCGGCACCGGTAGTTGAGGTTTCTTTATCAGGTTCGGTGGTACCGGTGCTTTGAGGTGTGTATTGGTATTTCTTGATGAAATACATGCACAGGTATAGGGCTGGACCTGAATATTTAAAATTAATAGGGTTACTTATATGTTTAATTTTTTAGCTAGCTACTGTTAGTACTTTAGTCATTGATTGTTTGGGGTAGTGTTTTTTCAAAATGTGTCTCGATTATATGTTATTATTTATTTTTAAACAATAATAGTTTATAGAACTCATATTCCAATGTTTATTTTACTAGTTTATATAAAATATTATTATGCACAAATAAGTCAGTGTTTACAGTTTAGATTTTTAAATCGTGGTAGTGGTTAATTGTGTTTCATAATGCTTTCATAAATTAAACGTTTTTGTGCACATTATATTTATAAATAATGTAACTTGATGCAAATGAAATACTAGTTTATACTTGTTATCTATCAAATTATAAATTATGTAATAAAACAACAAATAATCAACGACTTCTAATAATTGCAAAAATAATTGTGTAAAACTTTACTTGCACCTACCTATTAACTCCAAAACACCGCCAATTAGAAACGGTATCTCCAGCACCGGTCGTCTATTATAATTAATGCAACTTTCAGTGCACTTCCCATTAGCCATATATACGCTACTATTTGTGGTGACGTTAAAAAATATGCACTCATTTGGCTGAACCCCGGGGCAAATATCATTTCCAATCACATAGTTTTCAACTAATAAAGGACCTAGTATAGTGCCTATGCCCCATAGGAATTGTGCAAACAATAAAATGGAGGGGCTTCGGTATTTCCACATTTCCACTAATATGACATTATTACAGCCATTCCAACTGCCTATCCCTAACCCATAGATAATTGAGCACAACCATATTTGCCATAATTGTGTTGACCAAGGTATAAATATTGTGCTTAAGCCCATGCCGATTACCGCAAAGCACAAGTAGATTTGTCTGTTTATGTATTTGAATAGTACCGTGGCTAATTACGTAATTGATATAAGTTTTGATTAATTTATTGATATTTATTAAACTTTTTATGACATACCAAATGAGCCGAAAAACATGCCGATCCCTTGAAATACCGGTATGAGTCCGATCATAGGGAGCGTGGAGTTAGTGGTGTGCGTGAAGTCTACGTATGCCGGCCCCTCCATGGCTGATGTCAAACCCTTTTGTGTAGATTTTTATTAAAATAAAAATTTTAAATATTTATTATTAAAAATATTTATGATAATTTAATTGACTTACAAATAATAAATGATTATAAAAATGTAATGATGTATAAACCCATCTATATGCCATGCTTAATTCAGTGGGATTATCACTTGGTGGTAGGGTAAACACGGCAGTTATCATGCTTAATTTTGCAGTGATGGTCATATTTTACAAGATTAATTAGTACTTATTAAAATATAATTAACAATTATGTTTCAACAATATTATAGTTTAAATTTTAGGATACTGTTTTTAATTAAGTTACATTATTAGCACTATTAATAAATCATATTTTATTTATTTAATGCACATGGATTAGTTAAATAGATCCAAAATAAACTATTACAGTTATAATATTTAATATTAATTTTATATTAATATTAAAATAATTAATATGATTTAAGACAATGTCAATGAGTTGGCAAACAATGCAATACTTAAAGCCCAAACAACTATTTAAAAATTCATTTAAACAAAAAATTTCCAGCAAATATAGATAAAATATTAATCAATATTATTATTATTATAATAATGAAAATACATAGAAAAGCATACAGTACTGTATAACTAACAATGATAAACAATATTTTTATTTTTAATTGCGTGTATAGATTACAAAATTTAATTTTATTTCAATCTATGCTTAAATATATTGTTGTTTATATTGTATATTTTATATATACTGTATGTGAATACAATTAATTATCACATAAAACGTGTCATTGGCACCTGGTTGGTGTTTATATAAACAGTATAATCAATAATAGTATTTTTAATTTTTAATATTCAATTTATTTAACTGATACATTATATAGCACTAATAGTGATATATTACACATGTAGTACAAAAGATTTTGCTAAAGATTTAGTAGTTATTATTTATAAAATAATTATTTTGATAAATGTATTGCTTACTAATGATATTAATTGATATTGTCAATTAAATTAACGCATTTTATTTATAAGGTGTCTATAAATAGAGTGATTTATTATGATAGATTTATTATTAATAAAATATAGATTATACCTTAATACAGTATTTTTGTAATTATTATTACGTAATGGATACTTAAAGAATTTTTAAAATTATAAGTTTAATAATATACTGTATTTTAAATATGACAGATACTAAGTTAGTACATGTTGATAAATAAAATAACTTATAAAATTATAAATAAATATAGTTGTAAATGTAGTATTTTTAGCATTATAATAAATAAATAATAAATAGTTTACATTATATTGTAATTATGCAGACTATGATTGATTACACTGTATAGCAAGTTTATTTGTAATAATATTTCATACATTGTCATATTTATTGTTACACATAAATATAATTTTAACTTTCTAACCATAGGTCCTAGACTAAAATATAATAAATATGTTTGTTGAAATGGGCTCATAAAATTTTACCTAGATTAAATTTTAAAATAATTTTATACTTAATTTCAAAAATTAAATTTAATAAAAATGCAAACTTTCAAAATACAATGACGTTTAAAGTAAAGTAAATTAATTAAAGTTATCTAATAAATTTTACATATTTATTAGTGGACAACACGGTACACTTTTAAAAGTTCATTTTATATAAATAACAATATAATTAAATACACATCTATATTAATTAAATTATTTATATAAAAAAGTTTTAAAATTTAAATTTAAAATATTTTTATTACAAAGCAATCACTGTATCGTTAATATAAACATTATTTAATATCCTATTTGTATCACTTGTTTCAATAACTAACTCGGCTACAAAATAAATTTAAAATTAAAAAATACATTAATTTCAAATAAAAAACTTACCATCTAAATTATTATCAACAGTGTACTTTTTACGGCAACACGAGCACAAGTTTTTACAAGTAATACTTTAAAGAAACACAATGTAGTTCAAATAAAAAATATTAACTTTTCCAATATTTAAACCAAATTAACTATTACAAACTATACACTTTACAAAACGATAATAAAAATTATTTCATTTATTTTTCAAATAGTTTGTTTATCAAGTACATTATCTTTCATAGTTTTAGTACCGTACCTATTGCATATTATGTAATTATTGCAACATTAGGGAACCTTAATGCTATTACTATAAATTATTATTCATAAAGCTAAAAATAACTCAATAAAGTTTTTGATAATTAATATTATAGTATATTATAATATAGCTAAATAATATGTTATAATTATAGTAATAATATTTATTTATTATTTATAATTAATATTAAATTCTATTTTAGTTTTAATCAAAACTCATAATTATAAAAATATATCATATAATATAATTAATGATATTAAATTTTAAATTATTAAAAATATTGTTATAATAACTGAAAATAAAAAGATGTAGACAAAATTGTATAACTTATATATTATAAGCCCCTCCCCATAAAAAGTGTATGCGGACTTTAAGGTATGGTCCCTTGTGTTTATATTGTTTAGGTTTATTTATTTTATTATAAAACTGATTTGAACAATTTCAGTAAAATCTTTTATACAGTAAGTGAACTTTTCATCAAGAACTGTTTTTATTTCAAAAATAAACATTCTAGCTAAATTTTAACAGGATTCTATACATAATAATTTACATTATATTATAAGTTATAATGTCTTTCAAATACTTTACTAACGGTAGAGTAAATGCTAAAATATTTTATTTCTATTACATCAAGGCACTGTTTTCTAATTTTAACAATGCTACCCAATAAACACTACCGGTATGGATTACAACATTAAATTTTATTTGAATCTATGTTAAGACTTGTTGATGTTTATATTACATATTTTATATTTATGTGAATACAATTAATTATCACTTACAAATTTTACAATTTATTATACACTGTACACTATAAAAAGTTCCTTTTATGTAAATAACAATATAAATAAATACACATCTATATTAACTGAATTATTTATATAAAAAAGTATATTTTTATTACAAAGCAATCACTGTATCGTTAATGTAAACATTATTTAATATCCTATTTGTATCACTTGTTTCAATAACTAACTCGGCTACAAAATAAACTTAAAATTAAAAAACACATTAATTTCAAGTAACAAAACTTACCATCGAAATTGTAATCACCAGTGTACTTTTTACGGCAACACGAGCACCGTATTAAATCCTTTAGCTTGTAATGTGCATTTTTAAATTGTTCCCGGAGCTCATAAAAATACTGACTTACATACCACTCTATTATAAACAAAATTATAGCAAACAAAATATATAAACCACCATGGCTCACTGCCAACTCGATGAACACCAAGCACAACGCGTATGAAATAGCTCCAAATGGTAAAAATATGAACAAGTTATTTTTGTAGGCACCTATAGCTCCGGACACACTTATGACAAACGCCAGGGTAGATAACGTGATAAATGAATCGTAATTTTCTTTATCTCTATTGGTGTCCAGTATTGATATAATTAACATAATTATACTAATTATGGCACATATTATAGCCGTTGTCAGTGAAAATATACGGGACGAGTATGTTGAGGGACATAAAAATCCACCTACACATTTTAAACATTTTAAACATATCATATTGTGCACATTTATTTATTGTGGCAAGGTGTAATAATAAGCAACATATATTGAAATATAATTTTACAAAATATTTTATATAAACATTTTTATCATTAATAAAGTTATACTAAATAAATCAAACAATAGGTTAAGTTTTATACTCACTTATAATTGTCATTAATAAGACACTGATAAATTATCAACAATGTAATTTATCCATAGTAACATGTATAAAAACATTTTAAACTTACAGTGTAGTTTTGAAATCTATTTTATTATTTAGATATGAAATATTTATGTTGCAAGCAGAGCAGAGCAAATGTTATTGATTGTTAGTACCTAGTTCAACTGACTTAAAAAATAATTCACAGAAATCATTACTTTTATTACTTATTTTTCACATTTTCTAATTAATATCAACTTTTCTATAATAAGTTTTTTACTTCCAACTCATATAAAATAAAATTGA